AACGTTTATTTCTTTACAGTTTAGTCTTTCTACGAAAACGCTTTTTTTAAATTGAGTTTTACGATACCCTTGTAGTTCAGAAACATTTTAGTAAGAGTTAATTTGTCTTCAGTATCATTTGTTACAATAAATTGAGAAATCTAAAATGGATATTCGTCACTGTTTTATATTTTATTCAGTAATAATATTCGTTTCGTTATATTTTTTACAAGAAAATTTTTATGTAAATTCAAATTTTATTTTAGTGTTTATTATGAACATCATTCAATATTGCTCAAAATGACATCACCAATTCTTGTTAAAGCTTGGTTCAACAATGAAATTACTGGTCTTCCATTCACCAAAATATTTTGCAATTATCGAAAATCAAAAAGCAAAGTGTCAAAGCTTATTGAAACTATTGATGAATTAGTTCAACATGGTATTCTTAAAAAAGGTGTTAATGATAATCGACACGTTGTTGCTGCACGAAAAGAAACATATTTAAAAACATCACCAGTTACTATTCGTGCTAATAACCGAATGCTTGATTATCTTCAATCTATTGGCATCGACATTGATACTTATGAACATGCATATCTTTCATCACCATTACCAATGAATATGGAATTAACTACATTTGCAGTTAATTTAATTTTATCCGATGATGATTATATTGAATACTGTCATTTATTTAATGATGTTCATATACAAAATGAAATGGAAGAACGATTATCAAAACAGATGGTCGAATATCGAATGGTATTTGGTCAAAAGCAATATTATATTCCATCATTATCTCAAATTGTCGAAGAAGGTAAATTGGAAATTCTTTCTAAACAAATAAAATTGTTATTTAATTCAACCATTTCTTATATTTAGATAATTTAATTATTGAAAACAGTCAACGTTATGATGGTGATCAAACTCCAACTAATAATAATGATAACAATGATGATAATAGTGGTGATAACAATGATGATAATAGTGGTGATAATCAAAGTGATAATAATGATAATGCATTATCAACTTTACTTTTTGTATCACATCGATCAATTACTAATCCATCACCAAACACCATATCATCACGTTCTGCAAATTCATCTCTTTTTACTGAATTGTTGAATATGAATAATAATAATGAATCACAAAACAACAATGTTACCGATCAAATAACTGAATCTAATAA